TTCAGCAGAGTATTTTATTCTCCCCCCCCCCCTTTTTTTTTGGTGTGGTTGATCTTAAGGTTAAGGTAAACCTGGCTTAACAGTCTACCTCTGCTTCAGATGCCACTCTGCCTGGATGATGCTCAGAGGTCATGGCTAGAAGCAACTGGAAGCTGTTCTTGGAAGCTGCCTTGCCTTTTTAGGTGATGAGGGTCTCTCTGTGATTAGGGTAACATGATTGACAGCTCCACTCCAGCTCCAATTAGCATCCTATTATTTATTAGCTTCTGCTTTCAGATTATGCGGTAACTTCACAAATATTTCAACCAGGAAAACAGCAGCTATCAAGTGTCTCTTTCCTGATCCAGCCCTCTGGGGCTTGAGTGAAATACAAGGAAAGAACAGTACAGTTGGTCTGTCAGGAGAGAATAATCATTTGTGTCTGTCTGTCTGAAGCCATGATATCTCTGGTTTCTTTTTTGGCTTGAAACCTCTCTCTCTCTCTCTCTCTCTCTCTCGCTCACTCGCTCTCTCGCTCTCTGTATATTTGTGGGTAAATAGATTCTGTTGTGTGGCTACAACTTTTGTATTACTAGAGTTACATTTATTTGTTGGTGATGAAGAAGAGTCAGCCTTCAGAAATTATATGTTTGCCTAATCCTATTACTTTTGTAAATATCACAACTTCAGTCACATACAAATGGCAACTGTAATAATGATACTGTTACGAGGGTATTTTGCTTTTACTCCAGAATATATAATAAGTTCTAAAACTCTAGCAGGAAGGAAAGGAACAAGCGCAGCAAAGATTTGGACAAATGCAACCAAAATGTAAATTGCTTTGGCTATAAATAGTCAACTATTTTAAAAGAAATTCCATAAAGAAATCTTATGTTTTCCAATTCCTCTTTATTTTAAAGGCTTTCAAATACCTATCTTTTCTTCCATGTCATAATATAATTTTATGAATGACATAAAAACATATATCATGGAAGTGGCATTGATGTGGAAAGCAGTTTGTCTCATTTTTATTACATTTTTCATCTTTTCCAACTCACTAAGTGCTTTAAAAAACCAAACAAAACAGAAACGATGACTAGGTGACTGCACAGAGATCCAGGCTCTGATTCTGAGCAAAATGGAAGCTACAGTATATTAAGAGTTATTTCATATGCAAAGGGGCATAGCAATTATTGTATTGACCCCAGAAAAAGTGGCTAGAGTAGCTTTAACTCAGGAGTCTGCAACCCAGTTCCCCGCCCCCCACCGCCACCCCCCCCTTACTTCTCTACCTTCTTTCCTATCCAGGCATGAATCAATCAAGACAGAATTGCCACACATTGAAATAGAACTTCAAAGGGGAAATGAGATGGGATGGCAACTAAAGGAGTAAAACAGATAGAGTTCCCTGTAGTTGGGCGACTGAGTTCTCAACCAGAGGGCAATGAGCAAAAGGATTACTTGGTGGTGGAGAGCTGTCTCTCCCCTTTTCATCACCTTTTCCTTGGCTTTGGCCAAGTGCAAAGGGAAAACCGCGGGTGATCTGCAAATAGTGCCAAGGGATATGACTGCAGGAGAATCTAATCTTTCTCTCAGACCCTTAACCAGGTATAATACAGAGATATATGGAGAAACATACTCTTTATTTTTCATGGTATCCTTTAGGTCCTTGACGGTCATTTTCTCAGTTACTAGAACGTTTTGGTCTATACAGCTTCACTAATATTAGCAGGATAAGGATGGGAATTCTTATTTTGCATTAGTTGGTAGGCCAAGAGCATGTCAGTCGAGACAATTCTTTCTGAAGTTCTCCTCAATGCTCTTGTTATGCAGAATCAAATCATAGTTTGAGAGCGCCTTGCATTTCTACTTTAGGAAGATATAACACAGAGTGAAATGCTCTGCTTCATGTGTCATCCCAGCCAGATCACTGGAGCCTGGCTGGCTCAGCAGTCTGGACAGTCTGTTCAAGACTGCCCCAAAGGCCAATTCCAGTGAATGAGTCTCCTCACTAGCAACCTGATATTCAGGTCAGATGCAGCTTAGTTTTGGTAATCAGAACCTTGGGGCAGAGAAAATGCTCCCTGTGGGTTGTGACCACAGACTTTTTGAGTGCTAACGCAGGTGGAACACAGGTAAAATGTCCCTTCCAGTCTAGCATATGGTGAGAAGATGCCTAGCAGAGAATAGATTGGTATGTATTTTTCTTCCATGGCATAGTTAGTGGCAAATTTTGAAAAGCACATTGGAACTTAATGCATCTCATTTATGCTTGTATAGAGCAGTGATCCGTGCCAATGGAACATGGATTAAAAAAAATCCACAGAGAAGTCCAAAGTTAATTTTAGTTATTACTTCAATGCCCAAACCTTTTACAGGGCTTGTTTAAGTTGGGTGTGAAGAACTTGGGAGCAGTGAAGGCTATTAAATATTAAATTTAATTAATAAGAGAAGCAATGATTTCCTCCTGGAGAAGAATAAAGGCCTGCATCCAGCTGAACTGTCTAAAGGAAGGGCATTTGTTTAAAGGGTGAAGACAATGACTCTGACAGCTCCAGAGAGACCAGAGGTTCTGTCTGCATGTTCTACAAAATGTCAGAGTTTATTTTTCTGCTCCTTTGCCTTCTTTTATACATCTATTGTGGAGGAAGAAGCTCAAAGCTGAACAGCAAAGAGACATCAGAACAGAACAAACAGTCATCACTATGGTAACAGTATAGCCTCTGCCTTTGGTTACCTGAGCTTGCATCATGACTCTGTCACTTACTTACAAGCTTTATGGTTAGGTAAATTATCTTCCATCCATGTGCCTCAATTTTCTTAGAGTGAGAAGAGACCATAATAATAAACTGCCATGCAGCTTAACAAACAACCCATTTAGATTAGTGCCTGAGACATGATAATTAATATTAGTTATTTTGCTTTCATATCTGCAGCAACATAATCATATAGTACCTTCTAAGTAAAAGCAGTGACATCATTTTTTGGGGGGGGTCCAGTTGTGGGACCTGAACTCTGGGCCTTGGCGCTGTCCCTCAGCTCTTGAGCTCAAGGTTAGCTCTCTACCACTTGAGTCACAGCGCCACTTCCCGCTTTTTGCTTTTTGCTTATGTGGTGCTGAGGAATCGAACCCAGGGCCTTAGACATGCAAAGCAAGCGCTCTATCACTGAGCCACCCTCCCAGCCCCAATGACATCATTTTTATAATGGTCACATATAGTTCATAGTTTCCCAAAAGCTAGAAATTGAGGATAAATCTGCCATGCTCATGCTCTGAGGAAGGTCCCTTAACTGCTTCCAATTCTCGAGACTATTATCCAAGAGATGCGATATTTGCTTCTCACATTACTATGAAGGTCAAAATTTGTGCTAATATTTTTATGCTTCAACAGTGTGAAAGGGTGATTTGAGTGTAACACAAGTATCTTGCCCCTGGGTACTTTAGTGAAAGAACATAAATAATTTTGTCATTAATAAGAAGAGAGAGAGAGACTATAATTTAATAATCTTCCTCTTTGCCTAAGAGAAACTCTAGTTTCATGGTGTCGCTCATTACAAGATAAAACAAACCATATTTAAAAAAAACTTTTAACTTATGACTCCTATCTGAAGAGTGTAGCATTTAAGGACAGCAATTTCCTTCTGGCACATGGTGACTCTGTATCTGTCTGAATCATCTACAGTTACTGCTCTGCATTCTAACTCCTCAAAGGCTGACAGGTGAGATCTTGCCTTAGACAGGCCCTGGTTTCCTCCTCTGTGAAAGAGAAGGGGGAACGCCAGAACTTCTCATCTCTAGGTTAGATGGAAGGGAGAGAGGGGTTAACAGATTTCATAACACATTTGGACAAAAACCAACCATGTGTGTACATGTGTTTCTCATAATATGGCTAACATTGGATCACACTACTATAAATTATTGTATTAAAATGGAGACATTTCTTTTTTATGAAACACAATGAGCTTATAGTAAATAGACATCTTTAATGTTCATTTCTTCTTCCTCATCACCTTCAGTGTTGTGCTCATATGGCCCCTGTCCCCTTTCCCAACACACCACAGAGACGAAGAAAAAACACTGTCAGTGTTGTTGACTGCAAGAGCTCTTCCTCTTGTGATGAGTTTCTAGTTCCTCTCCTTGGTGATGGGAGGTGGGGGTGTCTCTTCTTGTATTTTCCATCCAAAGCATAGAAGGAGTGATGGGCTCTGTGAGGAGAAGACCTAGCAGGATTTCTTCTTTCATCGTAAATTGTTCCTTTATAAAAAGATGATCTATATACATCTCTCTCTATATAATATCCAATGCAATTGCAATTTTTCTTCCCAACACTGAAAGCGCCACCTTGGTCAATATATTTCTGGAGTTTTAAACAGTTGTCCTCCAACAGCTGTTTTCAGTAAGATTTGGGCAGGTGGCTCCAGATCAACCACTTGCCACTCACATTCAGGCTGAAGTTTCCATGTTCACCATCCCAGGAAAGTGTCTGTCTTTGTGTCTGGAGTGGGTGTTGTAGAAGGAGATGGGCAGGGAGGGAGCTGGAGGCGGAGGAAGAAGGAACCAGCAGCTCCTTTGCTGGTTCTCCTTTGCAGATACAAATCCATCTTAAAGTCGGAGGACACTGACACCAGTAGTGCTATAATCACACTACATAGTGAAATAATTCACATTAATGTAAAAGAGTCACACTGAAAGGTTGTCTTTTTTTTTTTTTTTTTTTGGCTTTCCCAATTCCAAGAAAGCTTATGGTTTCATATCACTCGATTAAGCAATCTCACCACAGTTATTTCCAGTGATTTAGCCAAAAGTCATTAAATAGAAGTCAGTCTCTGGATCTGCTCTGGCAGAAGAGAGTTATTTTAGATGACATTTCTGTAAATGTGGTTTCTGGTTTTCCCAAGACATGGAGAAGTTTGAAGTCTCTGCCTTCCCCTATGTCCTCATCCATGAAGTGAGAGGCACAGATGCTGAGCCTTCCAGACTGGTCAGAAGGGAAGGGGGAAGGGAAACCCTGGACTGCAGATCAGCTCAGAAGGGTTGCACCACAGAGGGAGTAGCGTCGAGCTGCAAACCAAGATCAGAAGCTGTTACAAACCCACTCCACGTCTGCTCTGTGTGCCACCAATTGTACCAGGCAGGAACCTACAGAGAAGAAGGCGGACTGTCTAAAACCAGTACAGATCCTTGCTTTTGTCCTGAGGCTGCAAACCTGAAAATAGAGAGAAAATGAGAGGGGGGGGGGGAGGGAGAGAAACAGAGAGAGAGAGAGAAAAACAGAGACAGAGACAGACAGACAGAGAGAGAGAGGAGAGGGTGGAAGGGAAAGAGAAGGAAAAAGAGGGAGAAGAGGTGGGGAAGGAAGACAGATGTTTAAGGAAAGAAAAAGACAAACACCATTGTTTTATTGTGAAAAGTCACAGGCTTCATCTAAGCAAGGGCAGTGAATGATGAATAAAAGCAAAACCAAAGCAAGCAGAAACTTCAGATCTATACTGGAGGAAAGCGGAAGTAGGCACAAATACTAGCCAATAACTGCACTTGTTATGTGACTTAAAAAATTATACTAAAAGTGACACTAACTATACTAAAGAAAACTAAACTGTATTCGAATACACCCTTCAAATATACCCTTCAAAGCCAGCACTGTAGTATTATCATTCATCTTTAAGTTTTACATTTGTAGAAGATGCATTTAATTTGGTAATTAAGCTGATTGTAAGAATTAGATCTTTGAAAGCCAGGGAGGCCTGAAAAGCTATAGTCTAACTCTGTGGCTACTTCACATCCGCGCTGTCAAACGGGAAAAGAAGCACACAGACCCCACAAGCACTATTTTTAAGTTTTCTACCGACCACCATGGGGGGGGGGGGAAGTGAAAAGAAACAAATGACAGATAATCTTTCATATTTTATTTCACCCAATATGCTCAGTAGGCGACTGCCCAATGTATTTGAACATGCAAAGATCCATATAAAAATATTAAGGAGCTGATGTTTACATGGGTGGGCTTTTGTTTTTACAGTTTTCAAAATCCAGTGTGTACTTTGTCTGGAAAAGCACGTCTTAATCCGTCCTAGGCAAGCAGCAAGTACTCGCGAGTGGCTAGTGGTTACAACACTGATCTTTCTTATTTTTGTAAGTCTTCTGCGATAATCACAGACTCGGATCTAGATGGCAGAGTCAGCGAACAACGGCAGTAACAATGTCACGCAGGCTCCGGGCCACGTGGCCCCCCACCTCCCCAGGACGACTAAGGGGGGGGATCTAGGCTCAATCCAGGGTTGGGTACAGGGCCGGAGGGCCCGCGGGGAGACCACACTCCCTCCTGCGCTTACCTGAGTCCACGCTGAGGCCCAGCCCCTGGGCCATGTCCCCCGTGGGGCTCACGAAGGGTCCCCCAGGTGTTGCCCACGAGCCGCCGGCCGGCTCGCCCTTGGCGGGCAGCTCGCAGGGTGGACTGCCCGGGGCGGTTGCCGCGGCGGGTGCGAGGCGGGCCGGGCGCCCGGAGGCGGCGGGCATCAGCAGCGGCCCGTAGCGGGGGTCGAAGTGCGGCGCGTAGACTTCGTGCACGGCGGCGGGTCGCGGGTAAGCGGCGGCCTGGGCGCCCAGGGCGCCGCCCAGCGTGTAAGGATGGTGCGGGTGCGGGTGCGGGTGCGCGTGGTGCGGGTGCGCGTGGTGCCAGGCGTCGGCGGCGCCCTGGTGCAGGTGGCTGTGCAGCGCGGCGGGCGAGTAGGGGTCGGCGGCGGCGAAGGGCAGCTCGGAGTGCGCGGCGGCCAGCGGGCTGCCCAGCGGTGCGGGCACCGGCGCCTGGTACGCGCTGTTCCAGAAGGAGGCGGGGAAGCTGCGCTGGCTCATCGGGTAGGTGCTGTCTGCTGGCCGGGGGTGGCCGAGGGGAGGAAATGGAGAGAGGAACCCATTACTGCGGTGTCACCGGCGTGCTACCCCGACCCGCCTGGCGACCCAGGGCGGGAAAGCGTGGTGCGGGGCGGGGCGGGGGGTGCGAGGATGCGGGGCGGGGAGGGGGGAGAGGACCTCCTCGGGGAAGCGGCCCAGGGTGGGTGAAGGCCAGTTCTGGGAACCCAAGAACCGGGCAAGGGAAACCCCTGGGAAGGAAGTGTGTGTGATTCCTCTGCCTTGGCAGACAGCTTCCTGCAGAAACCCGGGTTGGGGGATGGGGTGCTGTTTGCGGGGGGCGGGGGAGGACCAGGACGAGGGGAGAGGTCCTCTCCCTCCTGAGAAAGTTTTGAGGAGCAGAGAGTGTTCCCTGCCTTTCAAGGTAATCTGCCTGGGCAGACTCCAGCTCTTTTATTTCTTCCCACCTCCAAACCTCTCCTCAAGCTAAAGCTGACTTTCCCTAGTCAGGCCGCTACCCATCTCTCTGTTCCTATCGCATTTCAGCCTTCCTTGCGTCGGTCCTATGTCACTAACAGACTGGAAGTCGGTCCATTGACGTATCTCAAAGTATTACTATTATTAGTTTTCTTTCTAGAAACTTTCTTTCAAATACTTTCCCCAAGGCCCGAAGAAGAAAGCCTAAACTAAGCATATTAAGAGAGCAACTGTATTATTTGCACAGGACATGAAGGGACAGGCTTGGGATCCTAAGTTTTAATTAACAAACTTTCTGCATCAAAGTAAGAACGCTGGGAATAATAATACTAATTATTATTGTCACTATCACTGTTAACCCCTAGTGAATGGCAACATTTTAAGAGAACAGCATTTTCTATTTATTGTGTTGTCTTTAGGAGAGAAGAAAAGCCACTGAATTCAAGGCTCTTTAGGGTGGCTTTCATCTGCAGAAAACATCTGTGTTATACCAGAGATTTTACAATGATTTGAACATGTACTCTCAGTGCACTTAGGCAACTGGAGAAGAAAGCACATTTCTGTATTTAAAATTAATGTTTTGGAACCTTGTCTAAGGGCAAGGTTATTATATTTTTTGCAAACTTCCATTCTTAAGAAAGAACAAAAAGGATTGGGGTTGTCATCCCCAAGCACAATGGCTAATGAAAGTTTAATTTCTATTTTACAACAAAATTCTCATTGTTTAGCATAGGGTACACTGAAAACTTCGCTGGTGAAAAGAACTTACTAAATGGTTTTGCCACCTTTACGTTGAAGGGAGGTTGACTTTGCAAACTAGAAGAAAACTTTAGTTGAGTAGTGCAGGAAGTCATTGTTTTAACCACCATAGGTGTTTTGGTTGTACCTAAACGCTTGCTTCTTTGCTTACTGTAAAGACTGTTTTTGTTTGTTTGTTTGTTTAGATGGAAGACTTCTTAAGTAATTGGAACCTAGAAAGAGGTATAGGTTAGTTACCAAAGGCATTATTCCCCACCAGATCTTTTCACTGTAAGGGACTCTAGGATTTCTTGTTTCTGGACAAATTTTTAAGAAACTGGGGAAGTACCCTGTAAGTTGGTGGTGAAGATCCCGTGCAGGCAGGGTTGGGGCAGAATTGGAAACCCCACATTTCTACCTCACATTTGCATACATTTTAATACTTGAGTCCCAAAGCCTACCAAGGCGATGGTTAGGAAGGCAAGTGTTCTTCTGATTTTAGAGAAGACTTCAAAGAGGTTAAGAGACCTGTCCAAGGTCATATTGCTGGGAAGTGGTAGAGCCAATACTGAGACTTAGAAACCCAGGCCTTCTGATCCCAAAGCATTCCATGTGCTCCCCCACCAGGAACAGTTTTTGCTCTACTCTCTACATTACCTTCCCCTCACTTCCTCTCTGATGTTTAATGTTCTTTCAGTGTTTTTGAGTTCCTGCAGGGGAACCCCAGGCTGAGAGAGGAAGAGATCCCCTCCCATTTACCCTTTCCTTAGGGCCCCATATTCATACCTCGCCAGGGCCCAGAGCTCCGTGGGGCTTTGCTGCTGGTACAACTGGGAGAGTAGCTACTAGGCTGGCTTAGGGCCCTACTGAAATGTTCATCCACTACAGAGCTGATGTCCCCCTGGAAATAGGTGAAGAGAACGCAGCGGGAGTTGATGTACTCTGCCTCTGGTGGGCGCTCTTTCTCTGGGCTGCCTTCCTCCTCTTTTATACTGGCAGGCGTTTGGCTGGAAAATGAGGAGCTTCCGCTGCCACTGCTGCTGGGGCTGGCGCTGCAATCCTGGGCTTCCTGCATTTTGGAGTAATAGGCTAGTTTCTGGAGAGAGAGAGAGAGAGAGAGAGAGAGAGAGAGAGAGAGAGAGAGAGAGAGAGATCAAATTCAAAAGAGCTGACAAGAGTTCAGACTGAACTCTTTCATCCTGATTCCCACGGATGGAGAAACTGGCATCTGTGCCTAAGCCTTGCACCCTTTACATAAGATCAGCAATGGAGAGAAACATCTCTGCTTGCAGGCTTTCTTAGAAGAAGATTCAAGTTCTTGGTACTTCTGTGCCCCACCGTTGCTGCTGAGCCATAGGGAAATAGCTCCTAAATTGTCTTGGTGAAAATCTCAGCATACAGGCAAAAAACCAGTTTGACCTCAGAGCAGAACTTACAGCTGACATATTTTAAAAATGAAACTCCACAAATAAAGGACACCTAAGTTCAGTAAGCACTTGACTATTTCCTGTCTGAGAATCCAGAGCAAGATACAAGATTAAGCATCCCCATGATGAAACAGAAACAAAAAAGATCTGCATCTACATAGCCAGGAATGTAAAGGATCAATTCCCACAGGAAGTGTGAAATAGTTCTATCTGCTAATGAATGGGGGTCAACATGTGGGAGAGCATCCTGCATGGTTGTCATCATCATTTTAATAAATTGATATTTGTTCATTCATAAAAGTTCCATCTAAAAGTCGGTCCCAGTTTTTAAATGGATCATTTCAGCAAGGAAAAACAAAGAAACCAACAGTGGTCTTTGAGCATTTTAGTACTCAGTATCTGCACACATGTGAGGGGAAGAAAAGGGAGCAGAAGGAAGCAAGTGAGAATCCTGGGAGGTAAACTGCAGTATTTAATAGTAGGAGATCAAACAGCAAGTGCATCCACTTGTTTGGGAATGAGGAATGGACTGTATATTAAAGCATACTTCAGGCAGAGATGGCCTTGCAAGAGCCCCTGAGTCCTACAAAAATGAACAGAAATCCCAATGCAGTAAATCGGCTCAGGGCTGGGTGCAGAAAGAACCAGAAAGACAGTTTAACTGATCTCTCTCTCTCAATCTCCCCCCCCCCCTGCAGTACCTTGAGAAGGAGCTCCTGATCAATTTCAGAGTTTACAATCAAAAGATGCTAGTTATTGAGGAACAGATACTATGCCCTCACCTGGCTTACAATTAGGCACTTTGAGGATTCTTAAAATTAACCTTGAGACTATAAGTTTCAAGCTGGAAAGTTTAAAAGAGGGGAGAAAAACCAAAACCAATCCAATCCACCAGAAAATGTGTGAATCGTCATTCTGAATTTACGAACAAAATTGGTGGAAACCATTCACTCAAACACTGAGGCGTGAGCTCAGTAAGTTCAGGCTCCCACTTCTCAGATTCCTATACCCATAAGTGTCTGTTTTTTGTTTTTGTTTTGTTTTGTGATCCTTGGAATACTGGCCCTCACACAGGGCAGTGAAGAACTAAGTTGGCAGGATTAAACCAAACTAAAAAGGGTTTGCAGGACCGGGGTTAAATGGTGTTTAAAGTGCATATGTTGAAAGCCGGGCTGCCCAATTCAGATACTCCGGCTTGAGAAAGACGAAGCTTTCGAATCCGGCAGAGCCAAGATCGTAAAGCAATGGCCTTTTGGGCGGTATTTCTCGTAACGAATTCGCAGGCTCTAGAATTAACTTCCCTCAATAGCTGACCATGGAAGATCAGACAGGGAAGCACTCATCGGTGAGACAACTGTATAGGAATGAGAACGCGCGGCGGTGTGCATCTCGGGCAGCCAGGCAGAGCTCAGCTTCTGAGTAGGTTCTGAGGTCAGTTTCACCTTTAGGCGCAAAGTTTGTTTGTTTTCTCAGTGACTTTGATGGAAGCTGCCCTGGCATGCTCCAGACTGGGAATTTAACAAACTCCAAGGTGGAAAAAAAAAAAAAAAAGACAAAACCAAACAAACCCTATTCAGCCCTCGCCATCCCAGTCTGATGGTGATTTCCAAGAAGAACTGGGTGTGCAAGAAACACTTGCTGAGCTACTTTGCCGGGAAAGCAAATGGGCGAGTTCAGCAGGTTAGCTAAGTTCGCACAACCAACCGGGTGGCAGCGCGGGCAATTCTCGCATCCCGGAGAGCGCGTCGGGAGCGCGCCGGGTAACTAGCCGCGCGGTAGTCGGCGAGCGAGGCTAGCCAGGGGCCCGGGGCGGGGGAAGCGTCCCCCGAGGGCGGAGTGGGGGTGGGGGAGACTCCTACCTGGTGGTAGGGGGCGTAGGCGGCTGCGAAATAAGGCTGCGGAGGACCGTAGACTTGGTACATCACATCCAGACAGCTCATGGCTCTCCGCCGCCGCCGCCGCGAAGTGGTGTCTCATCCACTCCGGGGCCTCGGAGCCCAGGGATGCGCTGCTCCGACCCGAGCTCCGGAGTCATCGGCGGCGGCCGGGCGGCTCAGGATCCCGCTGGCTCGCCCGCGGCCCACGCCCGCAATTCTAGCCGGAGCCGCGTTCCGAGACCCGAGCGCCGGGGCTCCCGCTGGTGGGCATTTAAACACCACGCCCCCCGCGGGCGGGCGCGCCGACGCCACGCCCCGGCCGCGGGGGGGGGGGGGGACGGAGGTCGGGGGTGGGAGGGAGGGAAGGAGGGAGGGGGGCCCTGGGGACGTCAGCCCCAAGGCCACGGGTGTGATCCCCGGGACTCCCTAGCCTGCGAGCCTGTGACCCACAGGTGCCAGCCACACTGCGGTCGTCTCCCCGAACGCGGGGCCGGCCTTGGGCTTCGCTCTTCGAGGAGGGATCTCCCAGCGACGGCGGGGCGGGGTGTGACCAGAGGGGACCCGGGAAAGACCTGGGGCTCCAAATGCCGAGAGATCGTAAGTCGGGGAGAGTATCAGGTGGGGGGACCCCACCTCACAGTGGGAGACTTGAGTGAGTGCGACAGACGCTCGGCTGTCAGTGCCGCCGCCCCCCCCCCCCATTAGTATTAGTATTATTTTGCGGGAGGCCAGTGATGTCCGCTGGAGGATCCGGACGACTCGGACGGGACTTGGGAGTCCCAGGACTCGGTCTGGGCGCGTGGGAGCTCCCTCTACGGGGAAGCTGCAGGGGCCCTGAAGCCCGCGATCGCCTGCCCGGCTCCTTCTCCGCAGCGCCGCTTGCTTCTCGCCAGTCCCCCCCGCCCCGCCCCGACTGCTTCCTCCGGTCCCTCTGAAGTCTCACCAAGGCCGGTCAGCTCGCCAGGATCCCACCCGCCCCCGGCTGCCGGTCCAGGTGCGGCCTTCTTTCTAGGAGTCCGGGGATCTCCCCCCTCCATCCCCACCCCCGCCCCGCACCAGCTCTCCAGGTTGTGGGGTGCGGGGAGTCTCCTCCACTGGGTGCACCTTCCACGTTTCGGGACAAGGTAACTTTTCCTCGACTCATCGAGGCGGGTAGGACCTGCAGACAGCTCGCGGAGGGCGCTCGCTGCCTCTTTAGTGGGAGTCGGGGGGGGGGGGCGGGTGGATGACCAAGTTGGAGAAGCGACGTTTCATTTTTAGAGAGGCGAAAGAGCACGCGCCCCGGCGGCCGCGCGCGGCAGCGGCGGATCCTCCCTGCGTCCCGCGGGGTCCCACACCCCCAGGTGGGGAGGGAGCCCTGGAAAGTTCTGTCCTGGAGTTTAGGGGTGAACCAGACAAGCCTCCACCCCCCCCCCCCCGCTGCCCAGGGCAAGTTTGGGTGGCGGGGGAGGCTTTTCCTGGACGGGGCACGGCCAAATTTAGAGGCAGGCACCGAGACTGGGAGTGTGGAACGCTCAGCAGCAAGGAGGAGGCTGCGGGGAGAGACGAACGCGAACCCCGGGAACTCCCCCGCACCCCAGTTTAAATCCCATAGGAGATATCACACAACCCGGTTCTCAGGCTGGGAAAAGGTGAATAAACTCACTCTTGGACGTATTTATGTTCAAAAAGTAAATTTGATTTCATATCAAATACTTTCAAGCCTGAAAATTTTGGCTTACTTTATTAATAAATGGCAACGGTTCTGTTTCTGTGCATCTGTTAAGGCTGAGTTGTCCTTAGTGACTGGTGGGTTTCCTTAATTAACTACAAGATAATCTGATTTTCCCTCTCTCCCTCCCTCCCTTCCTCCCCCCCTCTGCCCCTCTCTACCTCCCTCCCTCCCTTCCTTCCTCCCTCCCTCCCTCCTTCCTTCCTTTTTCTTTTTCTTTGTCCCCCTTCTTTTTTCTTTCGTTCTCTCTCCTTTCTCCCTTTTATTTCTCTGTTATTTATTTCTCTATTTTCTCTCTCTCCCTCCCTCCCTCCCTCCCTCCCATTTTGTCTGAGACTGGGACATAAACTTGCTATCTGCCGCTTTTGATCATTAGCTGGTGCTCTACCACACGAGTCAGGCCTCCAACCCCAAGTATCATTTGCGTTCAAAAGAAAAACGCAGTTTTCCTTCAAATCTCTTTTTAGAGGGGTTGAGCCAGGTGGTTCCGAGGTCTTCCCAAAGTTTACCTGTCTCAGGCGAAACAGACCGCCCTTCCCACCTCCTAGGGGCGAGCGCGTAGAGGAGGGGCACAACAGCCCTCTGCTTTCACTCTGCTGACCACACAGTCAAGATTGGCGCCGCTGGATGAAGGGGAGTGTGTGTGTGTGTGTGTGGGGGTGCAGATCCCAGTCTCTGAATACTGCTGTGCACCCTTGCTTTTGAGCCAAAGCTCCCAGCAAGATTATAGCTTGGCCCTAGCTGCGTCTTAGGCCAGGTGTAAGGATACCTGGCGAGAGGGGGGCGGTGTCCAGGGGGCTAAGCAGCCTTTATGACCTGGATACAACGAAGCCCATGTTTGCAGCACCCACACAGTCCATTCCGCTCAGGTCCCGAAGTTCATCCTTGAACTTTCCCAAACGTGTTCCCCTCCTTCACGGTCAGCCTAGGCTCAGCTACGGAGAAGGCAGCGGCAATAGAGCACTGGAGACAGAGCCTGGGGGGGATGAACGGGAAGCAGGGAGGGACAGGCACTGGATTTCCTGTCTAGCCAAAGCTTGGAAACAGGTCTTTACTCATTTCCTAGAATCTACCTCCTATAGCGGTACCCTCTTAGTGTGAGAGGATGATGATAATAATAGTAATAATGATGATGAGGAGGAGGAGGAGGAGGAGAAGGAGGAGGAGGAGGAGGAAGAAATTTACGTTGGCTATCTCAGATAAAGTCACGACCTCTCTGAGTAAAGTCATTATTTCTTTCAAAAGGTGACATAATATTTCTAAGTAGGCGATAAAGAGCATGTAATTCTGGTCCTTATGACTGTTTTGCTGTCCACATTACCCAAATGTCTTTTACTTTTAAAAATCTTGCTGAAGCTAAGCTAAGTTGTGAGAAGCAGAGGGAATTGGACCACTGGTCACCAACCTTGAATTTAGGCAAGGAAAATCTCTCTCCTCCAGCATCTGGCTAAATTCAGAGTGGAGGAAGAAAAGGAAACGGCCCAGGAGTTTTAAATACACCCCAAATTGAAGCATGCACAGCCTTTTCATCTGGAAAGCTGTCATTTACAGGTGGGTGGTATTTCTCAACCTGATGAATTCTCCTCTGTGCATGGTGAAGCAGAAAGCAAAATACAACTAAATTAAAAGCCCTCCACTTTCCCACTCATTGAAACCACATGAGCTGAGTGGGCGTCAGATTTTGATTCAGGGCCTTGGTACGGGCTGCAGGTCCAAGGGCAATCATGAGAACATTTTCTTTTTTTCTTTGCTCCCCCCCTTTCCAAGGGAGAAGACTGCTAACAAGCCATTAAAATGTCCCCATATATGTATAACACAGACAAATAGATCAACAGTCCCATTAAAAGAAGTTATCAATTCCATCACTGCCTTTTAACTTCATAACTGGGCAGAGGAAATACCAAATTGTATTTCAGAAATGATTTCACTTTATGATAGATTCATGGCAGTTGACTGAGTTACCAGAAGGGAGACATATGAAAATAAAGCCAATTCCACCAAAATGCCCTTTAATATATTTGTTTTCTCTGTAATTCTAGTAATATGTAAAACTTTTAAAAAACCCACAAGTTATTGTCATTATCAAAGTTAATAAATGAATTTAAATGACTTTTGAATGAGTATACCTGAAGATAGCACCACAATGAAACATCTTGTTTTTTTCTTCAGAAAGATTTGCCTTTTGTTTTAATAAACGAGTACATTTCATCACCTCTGAATTTCCGTGTCATGTTTGTCATTTTCTTAAAACTACAAGGGTGCAGCCTTAAAGGAAGGACATTAGGAAGGACACATGAGTAGACCTAAGTCTACAGACCTGACTTGCAGCCAGCCCAAGCCCTCAGTTGCCCAAGGCTTATTTGGATCATGTGAGCTGGCATTTTGTGCCTCCCTATTCTGCCAACTCAAGGGGATGAACATAATGGTAATCTCATAGATTTCCCTCCCTAAACCCATCCTTGCCTGGTTAGCTGACGAGAGATGTGGTTGGATTTAGAAAAGCAGCTGACAAGATTTTTGTGGATTGAAGTTGTTAATAATATTAGTTGAAACATTTCTGCAAAAGCTAAGGTTTTTCAGACATGGTGTGCTATGGAGAAATGATGCTTGAATAAAGGAAAGTCTCAATGGCAATTAAAAAAAGATTTTTGGATTAGCATACATTAGTTGTACAAGGGAGAGTCCAATGTCCCATGCATACAATACATCCTAACCAAAGGGCAATTTTAATGAAATTAAGAGAAAAGAAATACATGTGCATACTCTGAAACCTCTCTAAAAGTGTCAAAAACAGGAAAAAGAAGATTTATACTAGGTCTGAACAGTGTTTCCAGATAAAAAGCACCCATGGTGAGTTCAAATGTCTGGCTGACACTATTTGATTAACATATATTTGACACCTTTAAGAATATGAAAAGGAGGGATCCTTTTGTTTCTTTTCTTTTCTTTTTTTTTTTTTTCTTACTGAGACAGAGTTTCACTATATAGGCCAGGCTGGCCTTCAACTGATACCCTCCTGCCTCAGCCTCCAAAGCTCTGGGACAAGAGTTGTGCATAACAAGACAACCCCTTCATATTTCAAAGACCATTCTCATGCTCCTACAAGTTGATTTTAGCTTTGGTGAAGCAATCACAACTTCCTCTCTTGAGTTCTCTTGAACTCAAATTGACGTTAATGCCTATTTCTATTATCTTTCAGAAATGAGTTCTGTTTTTTGGTAAGTCGTGGGGCTTGGGAGCTGTCCCTCAGCTCTTCAGCTTAAGGCTAGTGCTCTACCACTTGAGACACAGCGCCACTTCCGGTTTTCTGAGTGGTTTATTGGAGATAAGAGTCTCACGGACTTTTCTGGCCTGGGCTGGCTTTGAACCTTGATCCTCAGATC